GAGCGAAACAGATGACTTCCAAGGTGTATCAGTCTGAGTGGAAGGAAGGCGGGGTAAGGGGTCGGCCTAGGAAGGGTTGGAGGGAGGGGGTAAAGGAGGTTTTGTGTGCGAGGGGCTTTGGGCTTCAGCAGGCATGCGTGAGCGTGTTTGATAGGAGTGAATGGAGACAAATGGTTTTAATACTGACGTGCTGTTTTGGGGTGTGAGCAAAGTAACATTTATGAAGGGATTCAGGGAAACGGCAGGCCGGACTTGAGTCCTGGAGATGGGAAAATAAAAGTGCCTGCACTCTGAAGGAGGGGTGTTAATGTTTTCAGTTTAAAAACTGTAGTGTAAAGCACCCTTCTGGCAAGACAGTGATGGAGTGAATGATGGTGAAAAATTTTTCTTTTCGGGCCACCCTCCTTTGGGGGGAATCGGCCAGTGTGATAATAATAATAATAATGCAAAGTATATGCCGACACCAGACGTCTGACTCGTCTAGGTGGCATAAGTTATTCGCTATGCACAGTACAATTGCAGAATACCCCAACGTAACACATTAATTTGCAGAACACGCTTAGCTATGCACAGTAAGATTGCAGAATATGCATACAAGCAAAGCTGACTGCAAAATTCTCCACACCGAACAGGCTAGTAACAACTGACACGCAAAATTTGTAAAGCAATGCCAGACAGCTACACTGTTCTAGAAGACTGACCGTCACTTGTTCTATCTAGGCTGGAATATTGCTGCACACTAACAGCACCTTTCAAGGCAGGTGAAATTGCTGACCTAGAAAATGTACAGCGAACCTTCACGGCGCGCATAACGGAGATAAAACACCTCAATTACTGGGAGCGCTTGAGGTTCCTGAACCTGTATTCCCTGGAATGCAGGCGGGAGAGATACATGATTATATACACCTGGAAAATCCTAAAGGGACTAGTACCGAACTTGCACACGAAAATCACTCACTACGAAAGCAAAAGACTTGGCAGACGATGCAACATCCCCCCAATGAAAAGCAGGGGTGTCACTAGCACGTTAAGAGACCATACAATAAGTGTCAGGGGCCCGAGACTGTTCAACTGCCTCCCAGCATACATAAGGGGGATTACCAACAGACCCCTGGCAGTCTTCAAGCTGGCACTGGACAAGCACCTAAAGTCAGTTCCTGACCAGCCGGGCTGTGGCTCGTACGTTGGTTTGCGTGCAGCCAGCAGCAACAGCCTGGTTGATCAGGCTCTGATCCACCAGGAGGCCTGGTCACAGACCGGGCCGTGGGGGCGTTGACCCCCAGAACTCTCTCCAGGTAAACTCCAGGTAGCGAAGCGAGCACACCGAACAAGCTAGTAGCGAGCTGTTGAACGATCACACAATAGCAAGGTTGACCATAACAAAGCAACTGACATGCAAAATTTTTAAAGCATTGGCAAAGCTAATGCAATGACAGACAGCGAGCTGCACAATGTTCCTGCTACGAGCTTCACCCTAAGCTCAACCGTTTCTCTAAGTCCAGCTCCAGCTCTTGGACAGGCTACCCATATTACAACCCAGGATTCCAAATGGACTGTTATCCTGGTTGTAAAGGGAGCAAAATAAACACAGCAGAAAAAGTTTAGACTTATATTATCCTTCACCAATTTAGAACAGCAATATGTACACTATGTACAGTGATAAGTATAGTGCACTCCACGGTAAGCAAGGCAGAAATAGAAGCCACAAGATAGCAGACTGTGCTTCAACCAGCTCTAGAATGGGAATGACAAGGGCAGACAGGAGAGTGGTACCCACATAACCTCTGCAATTGCCAAAACCATCTTCTTATTGGCTAGAACCTGGTCACTAGTTGAACGACGGGGCCCCATCATCAACTCTCAGCAGCCTGGTTCGCTGGTTGGGGGAGATAGCCTGCAAATGAGGGTGTGTACATGCGGCGAATAAAGGTTACGTACTCTTTGCATGCCACAATATAAAATAACAAGATGTGTTTTGGGCTGGTGTTGTGTGAAACGAATTAGCTGTGTTATGATACATGAGCTTTAGACAGGTATTGTGGGGACTTGTGAGATGCCCTACACTAGCAAATCACTGTTCACACAAACAACGCAAGACTCCTAGAGCCCCATTCTCACAAGTTACCATTAAGGTGCACTTCTTTTTAGAATACTAGAAAAATATGCTGGAAATTCCTATTTGCATGCACAAACTAGAACTGACTTACTTGCCTGTGGAGACTATACTAACTAGAAATCCCCTGATACTACCCAAGCAATCTAGACATCTATGACCTTTCTCTCGCTTCAAGATGCCATATACACAGGACTGATTCTTGCAAATAATTAAATATTATTAGCAATGCCTTAAGGGTCCCTGAAATCCTTGAGGGTTTTCCTTACTAATTTTGATACGTGAGGAACTGCTAGCTTCTGGTCTGATATTTAAGGGGAGTTACTTAGCACTCTGACTCACTGAAGTGTTGGGTGTGTGCCCATTTCTAACCTCAAGTTAACTATTCCCGCTTTCCTTTCCCCCTTTCCCCCCAAAAACAGTGGCCACATAACATGGGATATAAAACAGAAATGAATATCTCAAACAGGTCTGGCACGGAGACTTGTATCCACGGTCCATTGGGAAGGCCTCTGATGGTCGTTGTTGGCTGCCAGGCAAGATATTTTGTAAACCATGTGGAACACTGAGCTTAAGAGCTCCAAATGAGTTGTAGCCACAGGTGTTCATGCCAGAAGGAAGCAGCAGCACTCCCAGAAGCTCCTAGCTTTGAGTGGGATGCTAGGTACTTCCATATACCTAATCTTGTTACCTAATATAACCTATTTTAAAGTCTAAGGCTTAATTATTAATTCTAATTATATAACATTTAAACTACCCAATTCATTTTACAAAGAAATCTTCATGTATATTTCTCTTTTGATTCCACCTTTTGTTATTATTTGGGGTTG